TGTTCATGCCAATTTTAAACTTCACATTCTTTGCATCCCATATATGAAGACATTCGTGAATTTTCATCAGTTCTTATAAGAAACAAACAGAAATACAATCCTTGCCCTTCTGCACAGGCTGGATTAATTAGGTACCGATATTTCCTGGGCAGACAGGAGCATGTTGTACCTCCGTGCCATGTAGCTGATAAAGGTGAGGAACCTGTCAGAAAAAAAAGAGGTGACAACCCTTAATTCAGCACCAGAAAACACAAGCCTGGGCATTTAAGAACTAAGCACTGCTTATTTAAACTGCCCACCACCTCCACAATCCTTACGCAGGCAAGACAGCAGTGGCAAAACAGTGATCTTGATGGGGACCACAAAACAGGGGAGGGAGGACTCCCCTCAGCAATCCTTGCAAATAATATGCCTTCTCCCTGCAATCCCGATGAAGATCACTCTTTCCCCAGTGCTAATAGCAGAACCAGCTCTGATGACTGATCAGCTGGGTTGCAGGGAATAGCAGGCAGGACCCCATGAGCTGCACAGAATGCAGCTGAGGGCCACATGCTGCGCATGGATCAAAGGCTGAGCACATGTGCCCCAGTCTGTGGAACTCACATGGATGTCAGTCATATGGATAACAAAAGATCTCATCCGACCATGCAAGGCTAACAGATGGTAGCATGCATTTCTGTGAGGAAGAGTCACCTCAACTGGCCCATGGAGCATCCTCCTCAATAGAAAGTCCACTGCAGCAGGAGTGCAGAAAAGGGGGCAAGGAGGGAGAGAAGTATATATGGTGGAAATGTAGGTAGCTGGCCAAAAGGTAATAAGATGGCCTCACTTTTAACACTCTACCCATTCATGCGATGTATCAGATGAATCAAAATATAGTCTACAAAAGCTTATGCCATAATAAAATCTGTTAGCCTTTAAGGTACCACAAAACCTTTTTCAGCTGCAACAGGCTATCACAGCTACCCCATCCTATTCCAGTATTTTATATGCTTTGATGGTAATAGGTATCATGGAAAATTCTCTGATTGTAAGATTTGGAGGCAGGGTGAAAGACCAAAAGTTGTGTTTGTGGTTAAAATGAGGGGGGTGTTTTTTAGGGCAGCATGATTGCTAAATGCAGGTTCTTGAAAATTTGCATAACACACCGATAGGAACAGAAGCACATGTCTGGAAATTAGTATCAGCAAGAACCGATTGCTCCAACTGGACTGACTTGGAAATGAAACTGCTATAGAAGAGGATACTAGGTACATTTCACACAGAGGTTTCCAATATCTGATTGCTTTGGAGAGACATGATATATTACAATTTCCACTGCACTTATTCACTACTCACATATTGCCCACCTGATCAATGTACTCGTGATGCAAAAAACCCACTCATGCTACACTTCAAACATCAGAGCATACACACTCTGCTTCACAAAGATATATGTGGGGCATTATAATACATGAAGCATTATAATACAGTTTCTGATGGGGTGTGTGAGTGGAACTGAAAAAGCACCTATTAACTTTGCTTTGCTATTGACATTAAAGAAGTGGGATGTTATCATTTCCCTCCATTAAACTCAATACCTGTTTCTGAAGGAGCTGCAATGTAATTAATGTGACTGAACAGCAAAGCTAAGGAACTCTCTTACCAGGGACATAGGTTTAGGGTGCTTCAGGCTAGAAAGCCTCTAGTGCTAGCAAGAAGAGGTTGTGCAGCTGTCCGGCCTTTTCTTTCTTAATCAGTTTTCTGTGTGTTAAGGAAAAAAGGTGGACTAAGTGGTGGCAAAGCACAAAAGGATTAGGAATGGAAGATAACGCCATCTGGGCACAGAGCCAGCACAAGACAGTTCACTGTCCAGATCAAAGGACACACCCTTTTCATTTCATGTATGCAGGTCAACTGGACTAGGAGCTGATTCTTACTTCAACACTGGCAATGGGGCTGAGTCTCCTGAGGGTAGCAGACTGGTTATGGGGCGAGGGAGAGGCTGGGTGGCACACATAGCTCCAAGACAGAGGACTGTCCAAGGAGGGGCACCCAAGATGAATGCCTAAGAGACTGGCACTGCTACTTTCCAGCATCGCTCACCTGTGTGAGAGGTGTGTTTTGCCTCTGGCACCAATATGTCTTGGGCCAACCCTATGATAGTATACCCAGAAGTTGGCCTTTGTAAAGTTAAACATGGTTAAGTTTGAAGAGTCTTGTTTGCTTTGCTTTCTCCTTTCCTACCTATGCTTGGTCTCAGCTGCCATCAGATCTTACAACTGCCATTTGGCTGAGAAAGGCAGGAGGAATATTTGTTGATTATGCTGCTGTTGGTCCATGACTGCTACTCAAGTTCCTACATGGCACTAGCAATGTACTTGGAAATAATCTGGAGAGATTTTGATTCTTCTCCACAAAGTCACAGCCATTAGCAGAGACATCTAAGGTCATCCTGTAGCATCTGCATCATACAGTTCCAGGGCCAGCTCCAGAAGTTTGAGGACTTTGGACAAGACACTCTCAACTGCCTTCCTTGAATCTCCCTTCTCATTGCTGTTGTTGCTCCTCATCCTCTCTGTCATCATTGCTTGCTTGCTTGCTTGCTTGCTTGCTTGGCACACAGAGAACCAATGAACATGCAAGCAGTAGCATCTATCCCACATCCATTACACTGTCACTGTTATCTGGGCCAGAGTGAGCGGTGAATGAACAAGGAGGTTGAAAGAGTGAAGAGGAGATGCAGGACCTCTTGTAAGTGCCCCCCTACTGGGACATGGTCCCTTGGCAGGTGCCTGACCCTGTCTACCCCAGTGCCCACTGAACAATTCCCTCAAATACTGTTTTAATTTAGTGCTCTCTCTCTCCAGGGTTGCTGGCTACTCTTGGCCTCAGAAGATTTCTAGAGCCTGATATGAAAAACAGCCTATTAAGCGGTTGCAGGAGGCACGCCTGCCCTTTACAGACTGATGTGTGGGAATTGTGCTCCCTGGCCCTGCGGAATGGGAGTTTCATGGCAGAAAGGAAGTTGTGTGTGGCCCCAATAGTGCCTGCCTTTGCATCCTTACACTTAACCTTGACATATTTTGCACAAGTCTCTTTTTCCTTAGATATGTAGGAGAAACAAAGAACAGTAAAATTAAATCCCAAAATAATGTTGGCTGAGCCATGTTATATGGTATTGAATGCCTGGACCCCAGCCCTTACCCTGTGATGTGAAGCACACAAATAACAAGTCTCTCCTTTCAACACACATATTACTCCAAGCTTTACAATCATTGCTATATTCTTAATACATTGCAGCCAAGCAGCAGCAACCACCACCCCACTACAAAATAAAAAAGAAATACTGTGAGGATGTACAGTTCCACATTTTAAATGTTCTTAGTTCATAGCATCACTGTGAGCACAGAAAGGAAATGGAGTTTGAGAGCCCAGGGGGTGCCTTGTTTGCCATTTACCCCCATCACCTGCTGCTCTCTGGGTGGCTACTGAAAGCGGGGACTTGGGCCCAGATGTCCAGCCCTGGATGCATCACTTCAGTTAGGCAATCCAGAATGCTCACATCCACATTCTGAACCAAGTAGAAAATCCAAAGGAAATGTACCCCACACAATGGCAAAGTTTTCTAAGAACTTTGTGCAAGGTGCCCACAAACACTCACCCAATGCCGAGAACAGAACTGGCATGAAACTGCCCAAGCTAGGTATGGCCCATCGAGGGACCTATATCACCCTCTTCAGCCAATTGAATAGGTGTCACACACACACGCACACGCACACATTCAGTGTCGCAGCCCTTCCTTAAGGGCAGAAGAGAGGTGGTCCAGCCAGAGTCAGCACGTGAGGGTGTGGGGTGAGGGGAAGGGGAAGTATGCAAATAACTGCTGGTCACTGCCCTGTCTTTCCTGCCCCACTGCCAACCTCCCGTTCATGCACAGGTGATCCGGGTGCCCATATCCCCCTCCCCCCCGCCCCCATCTTCAACCAAACGCGTGTGGGACAGCGGCAGGTTCATGGGAGGCTGGAAGCGTTCCGTGAAGGGGCAGGTACAGGTGGCTGAGATGTACCTCAGTCTCAAAGTCGCGGGTAGGGTGGCCTGAGCTAAATGAAGCAAGCGGTGGGCTGAGAAAGGAAACCAGCCGGGGGTACTTGGCGCGGGGAGGATGGGTCGGGGGTGTTGCCCAGACGTCGGAAACAAGGAGGAGCCAGCTTCGCGGCTCCGAGGTTACTGTCCAGCCCGGCAAGACCACTTGCCACCCTCTCCCGCCTCCAAATTTCCCGGGGAAGGTTCCCCGCGCTCCGTTCCGGGCATCCTTCGCCCCGGCACTTTCCATCCTCCAGGTTCACCCGCCACTGATCGTATCTTCGCGGGAAGGAAACAGGACGAAGGATGTCACCGCAGCGGCGTATCGCGCCGCTCCTGCCCGCTCCGAGATCAGCTGCCCGGGAGGGTCGTCGTGCGAGCGTGTCTAGGTGCCCTGCGCTTGGCTCGGATTCTGCCCTACGCCCACCGGCGGGGGTTGTGATGCTGGGACAGAGAGACTCGCTTCTGGTCGTCCCTTCGCGAATCAGACGAGCCTCGTGAAGGTTACGAGGCGCGCTCTCGAAGGCTGCTGGCACCCTTTGCTCCTTCCTTGCCTCCCGGCGCCCGCGCCACACGCGCGCGCACACACACCCCCAAATCCCCTCCCGTCACAGTTTGGCTCCATATTGATCGGTGCTGCCTGGCCACGCTTCCCCTGCAATTCCAGGTAGTAAATCAGTGCCAGGCGGCCCCACCCCCCCGGTGTTGCCATTGGGCGCCGGGCTGTGCTCGGGCCGCACTCATTGGACGCCTCTCGGGCACAAGGCTTTACATAAAGAGAGGCGCTCGCTCCGCTGGACTTGCTGAAGCCGGAGAGAGAGTGGAGAGAGGGAGCGAGAGACGCGCGGCACACCAACAGACGCGCCCAGAGCAGCAGCGGCCGCAGCGAGCGGACTCCGGCAGCTGCGGGCATCCGGGCAGCGCGTCTGCCCGGGATGCTCCGTAGCCACCTGGCAGGCATGGAGCTCCCACGGCGTCCCACCTGCTCGGTGAGTACGGCGAATGACCTCTGCCTGGCGGTGCGCACCGGACAGGGCAAAGTTTGCCCAAAGAGGTGGAGACTTTGTGTGGGGAGCGGGAGGAGAGAAAAGTTGGGAGTCGGCGGGCGAGCTGGAGAGGGGCACCCGGGCCCCGGATCACGTGCCCCGCCCGCCCCTCCTCTGCCAAGTGACGCTAGAGACCCAAGCGGAGTGAGGAGGACGGGACGGGACGGGATGGGTTGGGATGGGATGGGATGCTTGGAATGCGATCGCACGCTGAGGAGGCACTGCGCGAGAATGCCTAGGAATCAGAGGCTGTGAAATTGGATATGGACAAGGCAGCTTGAAAGCGATGTAAGAGTGAGGTAGGAGCAGGTTCAGTGCTTGGGTCGTGCTGCAATGGGGGGCATGAGGGTGGCGTTTTAGAGGGTGGCTGCTGGCCGGACAAAGGCGTTCTTCCCACAGCAGGTCTGCTGTAGCAGGCCTTTCCTCAGGACAGTGTTCGTTGCCCCTCTGATTGCCCAGTCCATGGCAGCAAGCTGGAAGCAGCCCATCCGAAGGGTGCCAAGGTCTATTTGCCGTTAAGGTGACTGTGTGCCTCCACACTGCACTCGTAGCAGCAGCTGCTGGCTGTGCCCCAACTTTGGGTTGGCTGGCTGGCCACCTGCATTGTGGCACAGAGAGATGAATGCCACCAAGTCTGAAGTGCAACTCCATGGGTTCGGGGGCCATGGCTGCTAACTGGTTATGGTTCAGCTCCCCAGGGCTTTTGCAGGGAACGGAGACTCTGTTTCCTGCAGAATGGACATAGGCTCTTTCCTGATATTAGTAGGTTTCAGGAAGACAGCAGTGCAGCTCAGGACAATAGCATTTTTCTCAGTAGCGGCTCCGAAAAACAGAATGGGAACCAGAAGCAACTCTGAGCGGTAGGACTGAACTTAAACCCAAATCTGATCATGCCAAGCTTTTGCACTCAGACTGCTTGCACTGGGGGAACTTTGGAAGGCAATGTAGTGACTTGGGGTTTCACAACGTTTCCAGGATGTCTTGATGTCACTGCAGTTCATTGGCTGTGATGTTGTGATGTCATGAAGCAGGACATGGGGATGCACTGGGATAATGGCAATGTGAGCTGGTGAAGTCACTAGTCCACACCAGAGCAGGGAATGTTGTGGCACTGAGATTGTTGGAGGGGTCCATTTTTTTCTGTTGGAGATTGTGGTATCATATCGGGGCTGTGGTGTCATTTAGGATAAATGGCAGTTGGTGTGCAAAGAAACTGCTTGCCGATGCAGAGCAATAATACAATTAAGTCCAGGGTTTGCTGAAGAAGCTGGTGCCTTTGCCACATCCCCCTGCATTGAATGAAAGAGAGCTGTGAGGCATTCCTCCCTCTCCCTCTCTCTGGCAGGAAATAAAGCTGTGCCTTCATTTGGGAATTATTGCATATCCATGCTAGTGTGTCATGCAAATCCCACTGTCATCGCAGCACACAGAGGCCTGTGGTTACCAACAGGAGCAACTAGCCCCTGCAAACCTCAAGTGACATCCACCTCTCGGGACAGGGCCTGCTGGATCATGTGCATCTCATCTTGCTTGCATTGTATAAATGGGCACAAACTGCAGCGTAATCAGCCACACCCTTCAGGAGCATGAGAGGCATGGAAATGCTCAAACATTCACATGGTATGAGGGGTGCCTTTTCCTTTGCTCCAGGGTGAACCACTACTGCCATGGGCATGGAAGTTTTCGAGGTTTTCTGTTTCCTTGGCTCCTGGCACCATTTTCCAACCTTAACCATAAGTCACAAGAACTGGCTTTAGGCAGAATACGCAACATATGGAGAAAGAGGACCTGTATATTACCACAGCCTGGTTCTTAGGGCAAATTGACTGCAGCGTGAACCAGAATGTGTATCCTTGTCCGCTTTGCATTCTCTACCCACGATCTAGCCTATTAGTGGAATAGAAAATGGCGATGTGCAGGCAGGGCACAAAGTCATGGAGGGGACTTCAATCAATGTTTACATGATGGTGGTGGGCCTCTGTTTCCTTTCCATCTGCTAAGGGTATCTCCTAAAGTAAACCTGGCCTTCAAGCCCTAGCAGGCACTTGCCAAGCTGGCTGACACTGATTCTGGGCCTAGTTTGGTCCAAGGAGCCTGGATATGTTTTGCCTAGTCTCTGCTCTCCACTCTCAGAGCTTAGCAAAACAGACAGAGGAAGTGATTATGAACCCAGGGAAAAGGCCTTTCTACACTTGCTTGGTTTTATGTATGGTCTACAGTCTGAACACAGAAGGAACTCTCCATGCTTTTTGGCAGATTCCTTAACCCTGTCTAGGTGATACTCATTTAGACTTTAGCAGTCATACGCCTTGCCTTTCTACCATAGATTCTGTGGGCATTTCACAGTTAACACAGCTGGATTTCTGCTACATCCAGCATAAGGATCCTGAGAATAGAAGCAGCCTCGAGAACTGACCATTCGTTTTTGTCTTCCATCCCCAACTCTTCCCTTCTGCATGCTTTCAAGGCTTCAAATGGAAGATGTCATCACTTCATCAAAGGAAAGGATCAAATAAGAGCTCCTCCTTTCATTGCACAATTTATGCTAGGCGACAGTTTTCATATAGGAATGCTGGGGAAATAGCACATGTATAGTAATATATATTCATAGTACACCTGGGTTGTAACTTGTTTTGTTGTGGGTACATGCTCTGTGTACCTGGGTCCAATTATAGTCTGTTCATGTGTACACATAGTGGGAAGGAGGAACCGAGATGTATGGATATGGCGCAGTCAAACAATGTTCCTCCCTCCCAGATTTCTACCTGGAAGGACCTTCTTTACCATCAGGACTTTACCATGGGTTAGCAGCCCTCAGTGGAGTATGCTAGCACCAAGAGTGTAGGGACTGGGCCTTCCAAGCTCTGGCGAGAAAGCGAAGAAGCCGCAGAAGCAAGAGGAGGGGTTGCAAAGATCAAGCGAGTGCCTGTTTGCTGGAATGCCTATGCACAGGTGCAAGCTCTGTGTGTGTGTGTTTAGGAAAGCAACTTTAATTAATGGCCATTTCCCTAATGATCTATCTAGAAATGTTCACTGATGTATGGGTTTAATTAGCCCAAGCCAAACGCTGAGAGCCTGATGGTAGAGCATGCCATCTTTGTCACCAGGTGCCTGTTACCATCCTGTGTTTATAGAAACTTGTTTAATGACAAGTTAATCTGGGCCTAAACTGAAGGAAGGTGTTGGAACCCAGGCTTTGTGTTCGGTGTGATGGATTGCTATGCTGGGGCCAAACACATGGGAGATGCATTCTGCTCTTGCATCTCCTACCTAATCCCCAGGCATAAATGAATCTGTTCCCTGTGCAATTCTTCTTCCAGTCTATTTCCAAGGCAAGTGGGTACAGGCAAGACTTTATCCCAATAATAGGACTGAGTATGATGGCTCCTGGCATGTTGGATCATGATCATGAGCAGAGTTCTCTGATACAGAGGCTTCTATATATGGGGCAAATATATGGGGCAAATATGTTCGGTCCTAGTCAGGCTTTTAAACCAGTGGCATTTTGTAAGTAGCCTTCTGACTTGTAGGCCACAGTATGAATCCCTCTGCCCTAAATTCTATTGCAAAATAACAATGAATTCTACTAAAATACCACCCTTTTCTCCTCCAAAAAGTAATTCAGAGCATATAGTGAATCAGACAAGATTTCTGAGCTAGCAGAGACTGGCTGGCCCAAAGCAGGAGCTAGTCAAATTTGGGATTTGTCAGGTCCTGCCACATTATACCTGCTGCTGGTAGTGAGAAGCTTCCAAGGGTGCTATTCCACTTCTGTATCTTTGGGATAAAGCAGAAATATTTGTTGTTGAAGGCTGGAACCATAGCGAAACATTTGCTTAGCCATGCATTCAAACCGCTTATAGGTAGAGAAGAAGATTTATGAGTAGATCTGTATGCTTAGAATCTAGAACACAACAGGGTACTTCCAGAAGGGCTCAGGACAGGCCCAGAGGGCCAGTAATAGAACTAACAAAGGATCTCTGTAGGAATGTTCACAAGACAGATTACATATTCCATAATGCACTTTGACGACCCTTTTATTCACACAATCATGATGGATAAAGCATGATGAAAGAGTGGGTTTCTCCCCCTCCCGCTTTCCCAAGAGACTTTAAGACAGTATTGATTCTAAACTACAGGAGTGATTATAAGAACACTCCAAGCTGACAGCCCCAGGGGGAGAAAAGATGCTGATTAACATAAGATGTAAGAGTTTCCATATGTGGATGCTGACAAAATGAAGAAGCACCTCCTTTACCAAGCATTGACTACCCTGCTTGTGTGTACAAATGTGGTAGAGGGTGGTGATGTTAACCTATTTTATGGATTATCTACTCTAATTTTGGAAAGGCATCCTCAGGTCGGAGGGAGTGATCCAGATGGGAAAGGTTTCCTTCTATTGAAATACACCTTCTTTGTTCTTCCTGTTCTTGTGGCATATGTTTGATGGATTATGCTGTAGGAGGGTCAATGTGCATTCTGTGAATATCTTTCACTGCTGAGAGGATCCTATCTTAAGGAACAGACTAGATGGCTCCCAGACTTTCTAGCCTTATTTATTTAAAATTATTTTTAGGCTGCCTTTAAAGGTGGACCCTCTCTTGCTGTATAATCAGAGTCACTACTTATTGTAAGGATATAAATAAGGATGAATTGCTCTAAAACAAAAGTATGAATTTATGAAAATCATTGCACACATCATTGGTTGTCTCTCTCTTGGTGTATACATTATTTTGTGCAGCCACCTTGTACGGATCTGAAAGGTGCCTTTCCCTTTACCCTGCTTTATACGCCTCTTACGGCAGTAGAGACCTGGGGAATGAAGGACCAGCTTTGAGATTCAGTCCCAGGATTGTAGCAAGACTGAACGGTAACAGTTGTTTGCCTTGACACTCCAAATGGAGCCTCTTTAGTTAGGGGTGCTATACCACTGATCACTGGAGGCAAACTGCAGATTGCATATCTATTACATTATGCCCCACTTGTGAGCATCCCACACCATATGGCTGGCCGTCACCAGAATCAGAAAGCTGAACTAGGGAGATCCTTGTTCTGATCTAACACAGCAATTCTTATGAACCTTAGATCCCTCTAAAGCCTTTTTTCATTATGAAACATTTGGTCCTGCTCCTCTAAGAGTCTCAGGGCACCAAGGAACCTTCAATTTCTTAGCTATTCTACATTCCATCTGTTCTGCCTATGCATAACATAGTGTATTAACTTTCTACTGGTGCAAATTTAACTTCATGATCACCAGCCAATGTGTGGCTAGCAGGAAGGCTATGCAAGCTCCATCTACTGTACAAATGTCACAACTTCAAAGTGAATATAAGCAGGCTGTTGTTGTGTAATGCCCTCTTGGAGCTGCTTTTCTTCCGTTCCCCTTTCTAGCCTAAAGCAGCATGAACTGCTTCCCTTCGATGCAGTCAAAGGAGAGAGATGGGTCATTCTGCTTGAAGGAGTGGACTTGGACTTCCCACTTCCTATTGAAGTTCTGAGAAAAGAAGAGTAAATGCAAAGTCCTTTTGTTTCCCTTTAATAGGGATGTGAAACTCTGGAGCAAGTCTGGTTTTGCATCTCAGTGTGAATTCTCCAAGACGGCAGAATTCACTGTAATTCACCAAAGCCTAAATACATTGCCTCAATGCTAGTTCCAACCCTTCCTGCTTTGGGCACTAGTCCAAACTTGCCACTTATCTAGAATTCCAGAACTTTCCTTCACCAAGCCCAGAAAATCAAGAAATCTATCAGTTATGTTCTGCTCTTGCTGAGTGGTGAGGGAAGTGGGGGTCACCTCCATTGGTGCTGATCCATTGGCTGAATGATCCCAAACCAAAGTGCTCCAGGGCTGCCTATGCAGTTCTGCAAGGGGTGGTGAAGGTACTATCCTAGCTATGTCAGATCCTTGCCTATTTACATGGGCAGGTAACTGACCTATGCAAGATAGACAGATTCTTCTCAGATGTATAGTCCATGAAAGACTGAGAACTGGGGAATTCAGGAAATACTAATGCTATCTAAGTGCAGACCAAGGTCAGTGCTAAGAACTGAAAAGATCAAGAGCTCAGGCTCATAGGCCAAAAAGAGAGAGAGAGAAGAGCACAAATTGGCATGTGTTGATTTACATATGCTCTAAATTTTCTATGTGCCTGTCTTTAATGGCCTATTTGTAAAAAGGGATACATAGTCAAGCGAGAGGAGGGAGAAGGGCGTAAGAGGGATGGGCAGAAGAAGGTGAAGCACAAGAGGGCAAAAAGCCAGCTAATCCAGGGGATCAGATGGAACAGCAACCGCTGTGCATTTATTTTGGCAAAGTGCTCATGGACAGGGGCAGAGATTCAGGATTCCTGCCCTAGTGGACCATCTACTAACACAGCTGACAGCACAGACCAAAACTGGAAAGAGAATGCTTCTCTTCCAAATCCACATGAGAAGGGTTGAGTGTCCCTTCCCCTTGATATGTGACCAGGAACTGATATGGACACGATTCTGGAGTATGGTCCAGGATTCACGTGTGGGGAAGGGGGGATTCTTCTCCAGCAGCTGAGCAGATGGGCAGGGGCAGCATGACTGATGAATCCACTTACCTTTCTATCTGTAGGTGCCAAGGCTGTTGCTGTTGTGGAGTTTGGTTCTGGCTTGCCCTGTTGAAGGATCCCAGCGCAGTGAGCCCATGTTCACAGCTATCACTGACCGTGTCCTTCCTCCTGACTATGACAGCAACCCAACCCAGCTCAATTACGGAGTGGCTGTGACTGATGTGGACCAGGATGGAGACTTTGAAATTGTCGTGGCTGGGTGGGTACCATGGACATTGCTGGGTACTGCCAAACACTGGGGTATCTGCCAGCAAGGGGGAACTGGGCTGGTGTCAGCAGAGAGGGCATCGTGGCTGGCAGAGGCGATGGACTAGGTCTGATGAGATGTTGACCAGGCATGTTGCTGTAAGTGATGGGTATTAAACCTCTGGCCAACTGGCCAAATCCAGCCCACCTGGAGTCAGTCTGGCCTATCCCGTGATCCAGCTCCTTCCCCCCTGGACTGCTCATCATTGTTTTCCTGGCATTTGCATGGCTTCCTCCCATTTGAAAAGGACCAAATGCCTCTCCTGAACCTTATTTGACAACAGCAAGAGTTTTATGCTGAAATATGTTAGCATTTTGGCCCCACCATGTTTTGTCTGTCCATCACCTAAATGGGTCTGCCTAGCCACCCAGCCCACAAGCTTCTCCCAAAATGAATCGAGCCCTCAGGCCCAAAGAAATTCAATGCCCTTGCAATGAAGCGCCAGTCTGGGTGGATGTACCTTGGCATGTCCCATTGGGGAAGAGATCAGGTGCCTTCCTGGTTTATTTTAGAGGCAGGAAGAAAAGGGAGGGGTGTGTGTGTGTTGCAACACATTGTGGTCAGACTGGAGCCCTTGCAATAAACCAAAGCCAATAATAGTGCCAAGCCTCAGCTGCAGGTATGAATGTGCATTCTTAGTAAAACTCCCCTTTAGTAGCTCCCTCAAAGCTTACAACTTAACTGCCTTCCCCAGTCATTTCTCTGACAAACTGTTTCTGCTTCAAGCCACCAGAACCCCCTCCTCTCCCTCCACCTGGCTGTGCTGGAGTCGTGACCTAACAAATGAAGGCCGCAGGGGGCTGTCCCTTTATACTTGGCCACCACTTGTATAATTTGTCTTGCCCATAAAACATCTCTGAATTGCCCTAAGCTGGAAAGAGCATCTATCCATTGGAGAACTTTTTATGTCTTGCATTTCCTGGAGATCTAGATCATATTCGCATCTTCAGCTGAGTTCATTTCCTCCAAGAAATCTCATCTCTTTGTATCCTCTGTCTCTCCCTGCAATTCACAAACCCCTGCTTGGTTGTTGTTCTGTCTGGTCCCTCCATCGTTAATGCAACAAGGCAGAATAATATGTCTACTTGTAAACACTTGGGTTATTAGGCTCCCAGCTTTAGGAGTACCAGAATTTTCTGTTTCATTTCCACTCAGCCTCTTGCTGTCCAAGCCACGTCACGTGCGTCAGGGCTATTTTGGAGTATCCTCCATGAACAATAGCCTCAGTACCCTGGTTAGCAATTCAACAATGCCTGTCCACACCTCCCCCCCACCTTGTTGCACACGCATGTTTGTTTCTAGAGTGAAGCATGTCCCAGTACCCTAACGTATTGTGCACTGCCCAGAAAGACCTGAATTGAGCTATAGGTTGCACTACCTAAGTTTTAAAATTAATAAATCATTTATAAAAAGCCCTAGCCCAAAATGTTTTATCTGCCTTCCTATCTGGAACTGTGCACCATGAGTATATTGCAAGAGTTAAATGGATAGCTGAGCAAGGAGGGTCTTCACTTGCTCTGCAATACAGTTGGCTAATTTGTTGTCCAGTTAGTAATATATGAACTATTTGAACATCTGTTCCCATCAGCCCTGACAGTGTAACCAATGGTCAGGAATTCTGTGAGTTGTCGTCTAAAACATCCGCAGAGCACCATGCTGGGAAGGCTGAAGCAGAATATGGCCTGGCACTTGGAATGACCTGGGCTCTCGTTTTTCAGTATTAGGCACAAGTTGGACCTAGACCAGAACATCGCAGTGCTTCATGCTGCTGTTTAGGATTCCAGCAACCTCATTGCATTTCCCTTTCCATTTTTTACTTTGAGTTGTGTTCTGTTGTCCCAAAATATTGTCAGCATTTAATGGCCATTGAAAATCAACTGTCCTCATTAGGTTATTTCAGTTTTCCCCCTCCCTTACACTTTTTGGTCTCCAATGATTGATTGATTGATTGATTTGCATTTCTGCAAACCTTGAGGTTCCCCCATATCTCGCTCCTTATGAACACGTGGTGCTGCTTTGGTTCCCTAAGCAACAGAACCCACATCCTGAATATAAGACAGAAGGAATGCTATCATCCATCATTGTACCAAATGCCCCCTTTTCACCTCTGCCAGTGCCGAATTACTGTGGCACATGTCCTGACTCCTCAACTGCTCATACAGGTAAGGCAAGCTGCCTTCTTTTCTCCTCATCCTCTTTCTCGACTCCAAGGGGAGCCAGCCTTGGCACAGCCTCTGTGGAGTTGCTGCCCATGTTCCCCACTGAACCAGCCCCTTTCCTCCTTGTATTTGATTGTCTTCTTTCACAAGAGTGTGAGCATCTGCATTGCAACCAGCATCCTTCTTATCAGTGAGCTCAGGCTGGTGCTTCTACCTCTTTCTTTATGATTTGGCTGCCATCTTTGGAACCCAAGCTCCCTTCCCTAGCTGTAGTTTGGGTGATGGAGCAGATCTAATGGGAGGAAAAAAAATAGCCACCATGTGGGACGGGCTCTCCATGGCTTGACCTGAGGAAAAACAACTTCCCTTCACTCTGACCAAACCCTTAGGCCAGATCTTTACTGACTGGGATGCTACCGTTCCCAGCACCCTCCTGAAGGGATGAACAGCCCTCTCCCCTCTCTGCTGTGCTGACAGGCCTCTGTGTGCACCCTGACATTGTGTTAATTGGCTGCAGAGTGAAAGAATGCCCTGTCTCATTATTGGTAGAGTACTTGGCTTGGAAAGGTGCACAGGAATGAGCAAGGCATTCAGCTCGGTGCTCCCTGCATCCCCAATCTGCCAGCATTCCAACTGGAAGTGGCAGCAGGGAATGGAGTTGAAACATGGCCAGCTCCTTAAAGCGCCAGCCATCCAGCCCAGCTCACATTTTTGCCTTTGGTGGGGGCACGGAAAGCCCACTTCGAGGGATGCTTACCTGTAAAAGGGGGATGTTTCTGTACTTGCATAACTGGGACGAGGTGCATACATGTGCTTGGGTTAACCAGTGGATTCTTGATCAGAATGGGAAGATATAACACACAGAAAACAACATGAACCACACAACCAGAACTGTCTGAGCTCAGTGGTACCCAAAGGATTGTGGGCAAGTCAGAGATCCTGCAGTCCTCATAGGGCAAAGGAAATCATAGAACCAAAGGGCTTCCTACATGCAGAGTTAAGACTGCTGTTTTATTGTGGTTTATTTTTCATTTCATTGTGTGAGGAAAAATGTGTCTTTTACACAGTTTCCCCTCCTCCACCCTGACCTGCTCCCCCTCCCAGTGGTTGGATTTCTTTGCCTTTTTATATATTCTATTAACCACCTGCAAGGTGGAGCTGTGGTACAGCTGTGCCATAGCAGATTTGCCACTTCTCCCAAGGCTTTTGTTCTGGTGTTTTGTGGTTTCAAATGTAATACCTCATTCTAGGAAAGGAAGGGAAAGGAAAACATGGGAGAAGGATGGAGGATGATGTCAGAAAAGGCCTTGCAAACTTCTGTGAATGAGGCATCATGAGAGCATAATAAAGGCCTTGTGTATAGAAGTCCATAGATTTGAAGGGGTTCTTGGAGGCCATCTAGTCCAGCCCCTGCTCACGTCTGCCTCTGCAGTGCACGATGGAGCTGCCACATCCCTGTGAAATGACTGTCCAATGTCTCCCTAAATGCTTCTAATGAAGGAGAGCCCACTGCCTCCCCAGGCAGTTTCCAGCCGTCATGGGAGGAATGTTCTCTTGATATTTAGTTGATACTTTTACCATTGTGACCGGGCTGTTCTCCACTGAAGACCTTCACATTTTTATCAGTTCAGCAATCATGGCCAATGGTTAAGGATGATGGGATTTGCAGTCCAAATAATCTGGATGGCACCAGATTGGGGGTGCTGTTGTAGACTCCCATGGATCCTGTGGGGAAGAATGTGCCGAGCCCTTTAAAGTGAGTATTAGACCACAATGCATTGTCCTCATGAGACCAAAATCGGAGGCCTTGCATCTCACAAGGCAGATCTAGATTGAAACCTGCTTCTTGACGTAGTAGTGTTAAAATTCATCAACATGTTGATAGATCTGAAGAATGTGAGCCTCATGGGAGAAATGTTTTCTCGAATACCAATGGCTGCTCCATAATGATAGCAGCTTAACAGGATTGGAAGGCTTCTTTAGGCCAGCCTTCCCCAACCTGGCATTCTGCGGATACCTTGGACTGCAATTCCCCTTGACACACGTGGAGAATGCCATGTGGGGCAGATGTGAGGAGCACGTGACGTACCAGATGTTGCTGTACTGTAGGTGCCATCAACTCACATGATCAGCTATGCTAACTAGGGCTGATAGGAGTTGCAGCCTCACAATAGCTGGAGGACCACACATTTCCCATGCCTGCCCACCCTTGTGTCCTCAAAGGCTGATCTCGGCTATCAAAAGCCCTCTGAGCAACCACAGTGTCCAAGTCATTCCTGAAAAACAATATCTGACTTGTCTGCTTAAAGTTCCAGTCAAAAGGATTCCATGCCAACACTCAGCAAATTTGTTCCTTTCTCTCTGTTTGTATTTCACCTGATTCCATCCATCCATCCTGATTCTTCTATCATCGCACTGACCTTTCTTCATGGACTTGCATTCCAAACCCTGCAACTCCATCACTCTGTCCTAAACTGTCACCAATTTATCAATGTTCTTATTAAAGGAGAAACATTAATAATGTTCTGGTTCTTCGGCAGCGACTTCAGCAGCGCTGAATAGAACAGTTGGAGTTGGATCCTACTTCCTGGATATACCGCTTCTGCTAAGACAGCTTCAGAATAGCATTTGCTCTCTGCTTTTCCATGCTCCTATCTCATATTTAGTTTAGGATTTGCTAAATTTATACCCTACACACACACACACACACACACACACACACACACACACACACAGTCTTCAGTGCCCAACAGGCATCTCCTTAGCATGATGAGCCAGTGTGGTGGGGAGAAT